AGGCGGGACGGTTCTGGGGTGACGACGTGTACGTCTGTACGATTCGTTGTTCGTGACTTTTCGTTTTCTTCGTAGGAATGGCGGGTTGTTTGCGTTTATGCTCCCACTAGAGTAATTGGGCGGCGGGCGTTCTTTGATTGTATTCAGCAATTTTTCAACTGCGAGCGGCATATAATTTTACTTGGAGATTTTAACGGCGTGTTTTCCGCGTCCGACAAAGCGAGCGCTCTGGCCTATAGTGATATGAGCACGGGAAGTATTTGCTGTATGACGAATGAGTTTGGCCTCGATGACGTTAAGGAATATCTAAGAAAAGACTGCGATGTTCAGTTGACCTACTTTGAAGGCGCCAGTCAGGTCCGTCTGGACCGCGCTTATGAGTCATTAGAGTTGATGCCTTTATATTCCGAATATTAAGTGCTCTCTGTTTCTTAAAGTGACCATTCTCTGGTTTCTTTTTGTATCCGTAGTAAATGGGAAAAGAAAAAAAAGTGTTTAGGTAAGATTTTTAAAAATGAATGCGAGGGTGTTTGCAGATGAAGTCCTCTCTGCTATCGAAAAACTGAATTACGGAAAAACTTCACAGCATGAAGCGAACTGGGAGCTGTTTAAGCAGGGTGCAAAAGAAGATGGTTTTAGAGAAAGCAAGTATAATGAACTACGAAGAAAGAATAAAATGTCATTACGCAACACTTTCCAAACTTTGTTGAAAGAAGAGAGTAGAACCCCGGGCGTGTTCACAGACGACATTCTTCTGGGAAAGATAAACTCCAGAATGCAGACGGGGACCGTTATCGCGGGGCGATTGTGAGAGCGATAGGCGAACATTGAACCACGGACGAAGCGCCAACTAAACGTGCGTTGAGCCTAGAAAAAAGATATGTTCGTCGCATCGAGATAACTGTAGTAGAAAGTGAGCAAACAGCAAACACACAAACTATTGTTCGTGAGTTTTGACCAGGAGTAGATGGCTGTCATTTCAAGTATCCAGATTGTGTCTGTTTCAAGTACATAAGGTTTATATGCTGCGGGAACTCAGAAAGTTAAGAGTTTTTGGTGCACCGCTCCTGATGATTGGCAGCTGTTTGGGGGCCAAGAAAACATGAATTAAACATGCATTTTGAAAATGGCAGCACATATGAGCTTAATCTGTTTTATTTATTTATTTATTTATCGATACTACTAATCCTCATAGGAGGATTTTTGTAGGGTGGTACAAAAAACACAGATGCATAACCATTGTGCAGAAAAAACAGTTATACAGAGGATAAAAAGTATATGAAACAAACGGAGTGGATGAGACATAGTATGTTCACATCATGAGCGCTTCGACATCATCCATGAACTGTTTCAGCGAGCTAGCGTGAACAACGTGTCGGGGCAAACTGTTCCATTCCTGGACTGCTAGCGGAAAAAATGAAAATTTAAAGCAATTATTTTTAGGTTGGAGCTCCTTGAATAATTTCCCATGGTTTGAACGGGGTTCTCTTCCATCGTGGGGAATAAGGTATTTAGACTTTTCTATTTTAGTCAAGTTATTGGCTATTTGGTAAATTAATTTTAATCTCGTGAGCTTAGCTCTTATTTCTAAGGGCTGCACGCCGAGCACTCTACACAGCTCAGATGGTGAATCTCGCGTGCCAAACTTATTAGTAATAAACCTTACAGCGAGCCTTTGAACTTTGTCTAATTTTTGTATGTTAGTTTTTGTGAAGCGGAACCAAACAGGGCTGGCATATTCAAGCACAGGCCGAATAAGTGTCGTGTAGGCCAACAGTTTGGTATCGCGGGAAGCGTATTTTAATCGCCTTCTTCTTCACCATAATTTCGTTAGCGCTTTTTTGGTCACTGCGTCTATGTGCATGCCCCAGTCAAGATCACTTGTGAACAGGACACCTAAGTACTTGAACTCATGAACGTTTTGTATATTGTTTCCATTGATCTTATAATAATGATTAAATATATTTTTTTTTCCTACTTATGGACATGGCTACTGTTTTGTCTGTATTAATAAGCATCTGCCATTCTTTACACCAGTCTGAGATCTTGTCTAGCGCGCTTTGTATTTTTAAGTGGTCCGAAGAATTTGTTATTTCAGAATATATTATGCAATCGTCAGCAAAGAGTCTAACGTTAATGTCGATGTTATCAGTTATATCATTAATATAGAGCAGGAAGAGGAGGGGGAAGAGTACTGAACCTTGAGGTACTCCTGAACACACGGCCTTATTAGCTGAGCTATTTCCGTTAATTTTCACGAATTGAGATCGTCCAGAGAGGTAGTCTATAATCCAATTTACAACTTGTCCGTCGCCTAGGATTTTCGTTAACTTGAAAATTAGTTTGTTGTGGGAGACTCTGTCAAACGCTTTTGACAGGTCTAGAAAAATGACATCCACTTGGCTTCTTCGATTTATAACCGAGGAAAAGTCGTGCACGCTTTCAATTAACTGGGTGATGGTTGACAATCCGGATCGAAAACCGTGCTGGCATACATGACAATTTGATTGGAACTTGAGTGCCAAGTATAGTACACGAAAAGTTAAAGAAAGACAAACTCGTGTTACGTTGGAGCAAATAGGGTGAATGTCCTTATTTGTGTTTACGTCCTACATTCATGTTGGGAGAGAGGCAGCGGGAGGAGATCGGGGAGGGCTTTGTGAAGTCTGCTCAGCATGGTTGCAGTGCCAGCAACATGACTAAAAAGTCGTCCATTTAATGAATTCAGTTAATTTCTGGCTCATCGAGAAAAATAACCGCTTTTCAGGAGGACAGGCACCGGCGGGTTAAATATTTCACGGTCCCTTGATAGGTTGTGACATAACTCCTTCAATTGCTTGGTGCGTAAACTCTAAGTTTATGTACCAAAGGAGAGTTTCATGAAATGTACATTGCGGTAGGAGTGGCTCTGAGGAAAAAATGGTGGGCTAAGCTATAGCCTCCCATATGAGGGAAGCCTGCACCTACGACACCAACGCCGCACGCCAAAACTAGATGAGACAGAACGATAACCCATAACGTGAAGATGATACACGGGTGACCTCCAGAGTTCCGCCCCCCGTACACTTTCCGAAACTCTCCTCCATTCCGTTTCCTTTTGCCGAAAAGAACCGTACGTTTATTTTTTTTTCCCCCGAAAGCTACATCCACTTTTGACGTAGCTTCCCTCAGCGTGTCCTCATATTATCACTAAGGAAAAAGAGGTAAACGGTCGGTCGATTTTTAAATGCGTTTCATTTATTGCTCTGGTGCATGCTCTCGTCTTTGATTTGGTTTGGTTTGAACTCTTAAAAAACGAATTTTCAGAACCCTTGCCTTTCGGACTTTTTCAAATTCGATCCTTGCCGGGGTCCGAAAGATAGGAACATTTCAAATTCAAACCTTAAAGGGATGCTGAACCGAAATCTGGATTCCACAAAACACGCGGCAAAGGCGTGCAGCGGGATGCTACAAATATCAAAACATCACTCATACAGCGCTATCTTGAACGAATGACCGTATTTTTCAAGAAAAGGAGGTGCATTTGACAGAAACGTTCACGTCATGTTTCTCCGAGAAGGAGAGGGAACGGCCTCGCGTTTTCTCCGCGTCGCTACCTTGAGGGAGCGAAGCGAAGAGGGGAGGAAACTAGGTATATCACGTCGCGCGACTCGTTGGCCTGGTTCAGTCTCGACTTCTTTTTCCTATAATACGGCCGTCCATTCGACATATCGCCTTACGAGTAGTGTTGTAGGGATTGTAGCGTCCTGCCTAAATCTCCTGCATTATTTTTTCTAAAATCCAAATTTCGGTTCACCGTCCCTTTAAAAAGGTTCGAAATTTGGGAGCACTTTCGAACTCGAACTTAGGGAGGTCACGGCACCCTTACTTCTAGTTATACAGGGCTGTTACCGCGCACCCCTCTCACTGCAACGGGCGTGGGAACATGGTTACGTTTCCCCAGCACGCACAACGTATGCGACAACGTAACACTGAGACACAGCGTTTGCGCGAAACCGCCGACATCCGGGAAGAAAGATCGGCCCTTCGAAGAAAACTTGAGTTGTGTGCATGTTTATACAGCCTAGGAACTTATTCTGCCTCAACGGGCGACGAGTCTTCCAGCTGTAGATGAGAAATTTAGCCAGTGCAGTAGAACCGCTGGCCTGGGGTCTTTAACGTGCACCACGCAGTAGTGATACACGACCGCACGCCGGTACGATGCTCATCCAGAAGGCCGAAACGGGGGGGGGGGGGGGGGGGGGGATTGAGCCCAGGATCCCTAGGTTCTGCAGCGCGAGCTTTCGCTCCACTTGCTCCGAGCTGGTGTGCGCTAGCCCACTCGGCCACCGATCGCCCTCTCTTCGAAAACAAGAGTATGTGGACCGTAGGCGGAGATTAAGGAAAGCTGCGGTTCCTGCATTCGAGAGCGCCGACGCCCGGAAGAACTAAACTGATATTACTACCCTTCGCTGAGTCGAGACCCCTGCGACAAATACTAACGACTTTCGTCGAATATCACCGCAGCGAGGGCAGCGATTTCGGAATCTTTTTTTTTTTCGTTTCTTCCGCAAAATACAAAGAGAAAGGAGGAGTGGTTCGCCTCACGACAGCTGTGTGGCGCTGTCTTCAGGACACTTTCCTTTTCGCCTGCCGTTCAATCTTCCACTTTTACCACAACCTGGCTGTCTAATGGTATGGTGACTAAAGCGCATGCAGGCTGTCCCCCTACACAGAAGGCAATGGCTCAAGGATTTTGCTTGGAACAAATAGAAAGGTGGAGTGTTCGTTCATTCCTCGTTCTTGTCCTTCGTGTCGTTTGCGCTGTTTCCGTAGGAATTTTGAAGGAATTTTTTTAAAGCGAGATATTTGCTATGTTACTTGCAGTTTGTCGGTGAGATCGGCGCAACTGCCCAATGGACAGCTGCGCCCAACGACTTGTGTGTGGGATTGCTTAGGACTGACGGTTTGATTTTCTATGCAGGATATCTACGAAGCAAGCGGTGATGCATTTTGTTAAAATGCCGAGAGACATGCAACAGGATGCTGTGCGCATAGCCACCCAGGCACTGGAGAAGTTCCAACGTGGAAAGGACATTGCGTTCTACATCCAGGACAAGTTCCGCGAGAAGTACAATCCGTTTTGGCAGTGCATCGTGGGGACCAACTTCGACTTGTATGTGCATTATAGAATAAGGTGTCATATAGACTTCCAGCTAGGCCATATGAGAATCCTGCTCTTCAAGGCACTCGGCAGTGCCAAGGCGATATCTGCCGGCAGTTCCACGGAAATATCTGTCGGCGGTTACGGCTTGTCTTTTCATGATGAATATTGTGAATGTGGGCATCCAGATGAAGACTTTGATTGGTCGTAGACGATAAAACTTCACCGGGCAACGTGAGGCAACCGGATTTTCAGACGACATCATAGCCGCACGGATGCATTCAGAGAGTCGACTCCGACCACCGATGCATTTTTGCCAAAACACAAGACAGTTGCTCTGACAAGAAATCTACCTTGGGATCGTTTTCGTCGAGCTTCTTAAAGCGCAGCTCTTAGGGGCCCGTTTCCGGCTTGAGCGGCGTCGGCGTCGGTGTAACCGCGAGGTCACGTGACACCCCCCCCCCCCGAGGTCACGTGTACCTCCCCGCCCAGGTCACGTGACCCCCCTCAGGTCACATAACCCCCCTGAGGTCACGTGATCCCCCGAGGTCACGTGAGCCCCCTCAGGTCACGCGACCCCCGAGGTCACGTGACCCCCCTGACGTCACACGACGGCCCCCCCTTGAGGTCACGTGACCTCAAGGAGTCACCTATCCCTCAGTTCGCTTCCATCCTCCTCTTCAAGAGCTACGTTCTAGTCCGACGTTACAGAGAATTGTAAACGGCTTTCATTTTTTTGATAACAATAAAACATCGGTTTTGACGCGATTCTTTCTACAAACTCAATTCGGATATTAATATAGGCAGAAATATAATCAGCAGAAATGTAAATTCTGGAGTGCAAGTAGATTTTCGCAGTTATTAGAGAGCGGCCATTGGATCGGCATGCTTTTGAAAATGTTGCTAAGATATTGATATAAGTACACGAAGGACGGCTCCGTTTGCTGTAAGAAGGAGCTTCCAAGTGCTGGCGATTTCTTTCTTCAAGACCGCCACGTGTGCTTTGAGCGCTTGGTTTCATTGTTACAGCGGAGCTGTTAAGGGCTAGTTTCCACGGCATCGTGTCCGTCAGCACACAAATGATGACACTAAATACTGGACAGCTACCTCCTTCTATAAGCAACCGCGGCCACCAGACAACTGGTTTGCCGGTTGTCGGGTTGCAGTTGTTGCTTATAGATGGCGGCAACCTCTCCAGCCCTTCCACTTTGGCTTGCCGACTTGCGGCGGGTCATTACATCATTCCCAACATAGTACAGTTTCGCTGGTCTTCCTTCTTCACCAGAGTGGAAAGGCTGAAAGTTTTTAACCAAGTTCTGGACGCTGCCTCTATAGTGTCCTTACCTGCTTGATCGTTGAGCACTCATTGAGTCTGGTCAATTTCGTCTGCATTGACAAAGTACGCATTCGGCACTTCGCTAACTCATGGCTTCGTGGCATTTGTGATAACTCATCACATGATCCATGATGAGCGCCAGCCAGTCCAACTGTCCAGTCAAGTGGAGTTTGACATGACTCTCCGGCGGCGACGTTCGTATGCACAGGTGGCTCAGATCTGAAGCAGCATACAAGAAACAGATTTAGGGATAAGTAGAGGTTATAGTGCGCCATGGAGATGTGCATAATCACTAACCTGCTTTCCCTGGGTAGATTGCCGTCGGCAACGGCAACACTCTTTAAAGAAGAGCACTCTTTCTGTTGACATGGTGGCATTTGAATGGCATGGAAAAAAAGGTAGGAATAGCGTTCGTTTTGATATTTTCCTTTTTTGTCCCCTTGCGAAAGTCAGTGAGAATAAAGTGCAAGCTGCACAGTTTCGCCTAGTACTTGGCTACCATGGAGTTTGCCCCGGATCTATTTCAAGATAAAACATAAACTAAAGTGGGCTAAATATTTCCCAGCTATTTCTTGGAACTACTCATGATATGTAAAATATAAAGAAAAAAAAAGTGAAAGCCGTTTACAACTCCCTGTAACGCCGAATTAGAGCGCAGCTTTTGAGGAAGAGGAGGGAAGGGTACTGGGGGGGTGGGTCAACTGACCGGGGGGATCGCAATGCCGATGATGTCATCAGTGACGTCACTGATGACGTCATCAGTGATGATGACGATGACGATGCGGATGCCGGTGACGACACCAGTGACGTCACTGATGGCGTCATCAGTGATGATGACGATGACGATGCGGATGTCGGTGACGTCATCAGTGATGATGACGATGACGATGTGGATGCTGGTGACGTCATCAGTGATGATGACGATGACTATGCGGATGCCGGTGACGTCATCAGTGACGATGACGTCATCGGAGGGGGTCACGTGACCTCGGCGGGGGGTCACGTGACCTCGGGGGGTCACGTGCTCCCCCCCAGGTCACGTGACCCCGGGGGGGGGGGGGCTCGCGCGGTGCATTATGGGACATTTCCCATGATGCACCGCGCGTTTACACGACGCCGACGCCGCTCAAGCCGGAAACGGGCGCCTAAGAGCTGCGCTCTAAAACTACAGGAGTACACTTAAGACTGCTTACGCGTAGGAATGCGAATTCATTCCTACACGCAACGCATTCCTACAAGCACCGCGGCCCTTCCCCCGCGGGTGAGGACAGCGTGCAGCGCGCCTTCCCTTCGCGGCGCGGAATGGCTGAAAGCAAGAGCGTAGAACTTCAAAAGTAGCGCAAGGTGCATCATCCACGTGCAACGTGCAGCCCATGGGAAGATCATGGCGGCACAGCGCAGCACTGAATTGCATTTCAGACGCCATGATCTCCCCAGAAGTGGAGCGCGGCACGCGTCTCGAGCATTTCCACAACAATGAATGGCGACACTTTTCCCTAGGGTGCCTTCCCAGGATAGAGGGACTTCCACGTAGAACGCGTGAGGATCCCCCTCTCCGGGCCTCCGGCCATGCCTACAACGTGACCCAAAAGGGGGGAGAGAGGGCCTGCCACGCGCTCCAAGAGGTGTGAGAAAGGGGCGGCCTAGCGCGCGCACCCTCTCCTTAGCTGATCTTCGTTGCTCGTTCGCCGGCATTTTCTGTTTTCATGCGAAATAGTTCCTATTTTTTTCGGGGTCACAGTCAACGCCGGCGGCGCCCTATGGGACAGTTAATGCTTTAAAACTAAAAACTACAGGAGGACACTTAAGACTGCCTACGGTGCAGGATTGCGAATGCGTTATAGTCCCGCGGGTGAAATGTTTTCGAGTAATGTTTCTACTCGTATTAAAGGCTTCACTCGCTGCTGCCGCCGACGACGCTCGCTGGTGCTTTCTTGACGCGTGTACTTACATCCTTTTGTTTGTAAAACAAGTTCGCCGATTAAACCTTTATTTTTAGATCATTAGTCACCACCTCGTCACCTTCACTCGTGACATTTCTGGTGGAGGTAACAAAAACTTCATTCCAAGTCAAAAAAAAAAAAAAGGCGATAACGTCCGCCGGCTTCGACCGCTCCCCACTCTTCTTCTTCCTCCCTCTGCTCCTCCTCCTGCTCCTCCATCCCTCCGTCCCTTCCCTTCCTTTCCCTCCCCCCCCCCCCTCCCCCCCTGTCGTCGTTACTATGTCCGTCGCATCCCGGACGCGTGCTTCTTTGCACGGCGACGTTGTTGTTGTTTGCGGGTTTTATGGGGCAAGAGTTACGATGGCCATACTGCGCCAAACTAGGTAAACTAAAATGAACAAGAAAAGATGCACCAAGGAAGTATTTCTGGTATACCTTGTGTAAGATCGCTATATTTTCTTGAAAAGCTAAAAGACGGTCAATTGATATTAGAGGCTGCTCTCCTGGGAACAGAGTAAAATGGAAAGGGATACAGTACTTGAAAAGCTCAGGAAAAAAGAACTTGTGTTGTTGGAGAAGACCACGGCAAAGAAAAATGTGTAGAACAGACAAATTGTCGCCACAGTGCTCGCACACCGGTGGCTCCTCACCAAAAAGCAGTTGTCGATGGGTGAGGAAGGTGTGGCCGATCCTCAAGCGGCACAGAAGAACCTCACGTAAACGGCTCTGGTAATTGGAGCTTTCCCAGGTACCGATGCCTGGCTTGATAATATGAAGTTTGTTGTTATCGGCCAAATCCCACTCAGACTGCCACAGTTTTAGAAGTGCAAGCCGTATGGGCCTAGTTAGGTCTTGGTGTGGTATGCAAGCCTGTGATGGTAAGAGATTACGCGAGGAGGCGGCCAGTCTATCTGCAGCCTCGTTGCCTGCAATGCCCACATGACTCGGGATCCAAAAAAACTTAATATCATTCCCATCTCCGAGGCCGAGTTGTACTTTAGCACGTACCAGTTGAGTCAGCTTGTTCTTGGTTGGATTAAGTGAACATGTTGCTGTAGCAATGCTCCGGGAGTCTACAAAAAGAACTGCTTTCATCACTTTGCTCCGGATAATATAGTCAAGTGCAGACAGCACGCCATATAGCTCGGCAGTAAAAATACTAGCAACATTATTCAGCCGTGTCACATGTGTAAACGAATTTGAAAGTACAGCTGAGCCTACATACGTTGACGACTTGGCTCCATCAGTGTAAAATTGATGAAGTCAAATTCAAATTTGGGGGTTTTACGTTCCAAACCAACGACGGGCATCTGGCACGCCCCAGCGGAGGATGAGGATTAATTTCGAGCACCTGGGGATCTTTTGACGTGCAACCGAAAGCTCGGTTATAAAATTGATGATAATTCTTATACTTTTCTTGCAGTGCAAGAAATTCTTGTAAAATAAGTGAGTAGACATTCTGTTCATTAAATTTTTGTTAAGTACCAATCACAAGCTATAGGCTTGATATCCCATGGGGCAGTATGACATGCACTTTCTATAGGGTAGACATTTTCACAAGGCAGGCGAAGGGAAAGACGCAGGTTCTCAAAACGAAGACTCAAGGGTCGAAATAACGGTTCGCTTATGTTCAAAGGTACGAAAAAATTGAGACTCTCGGATATAAGTGTGGGCTGGATGACCAGAATCCGATAAAACTTTCTAAACATAGACTAGACTAAAGAGCTGCCGCCTTTTCTCAAGTGACATTTCATTAGAGTCAACATACAAGCTTGGGATAGGGGATGTTCGAAAAGCACCGCTTGCTAGACGTAACCCAAGATGGTGCACTGGATCAAGCATCTCTAATGCAGACGGCCGAGCAGATGCATACAAAATAGCGCCATAATCAAGACGTGATCGTACGAGAGAGGAATAGAGACGAAGCAGACACTTTTTATCGGAGCCCCAAGACTTGTGAGAAAGAACTTTTAAGATATTCATAGTCTGCATACGCTTTTGCTTGAGCCACTTGAGGTGAGATACAAAGCTAAGTTTACGGTCGAAAATTGCTCCTAGGAACTTACGCTCTGGTCTTACTGCAATGCTATTTCCATTTAAACTGGGAATTGGATTTAACCAAAACCCACGCCGCAAAGAAAGTGGGACACAGATTGTTTTTTCTAAAGAGAACCTAAAGCCATTTTCATTTGCCAATTTCGTCATTTTATTTATGGTTAGCTGCAGCTGTCTTTCGCAGCTAGACATGTTGCAAGATGCCACGGAAATTTGAATATCACCCACATACAGGGAGTACGACACGGAAGAAGGTATGACCGGACAAAAATAATTAATTTTTACGGCGAAGAGAGTGACACTCAGGACTCAGCCCTGAGGAACACCGTTCTACTGAACAAACGAATCAGATAACGTAGTGCCTAGCCGGGCACGGAAAGTGCGTCCCCAAAGGAAGTTCTGTATGCAATGAAGCAATCGGCCACGTACTCCGTACATAAAAAGGTCGCGCAGGATGCCAGATTTCCAAGTTGTATCATAAGCCTTTTCTAAGTCAAAAAAGACTGATACACAATGCTGTTTATTCACAAATGCCTCTCGTACAATTGTCTCCAGCCGAACTAAATGGTCGGTCGTGGAGCGTCCAGGTAGACAGCCGCACTGATTAATCTCCAAAATATTGTGTTGTTCAATGAAATAAACGAGGCGCTTATTAACTAACCTTTCGAAAGTTTTCCCCAAGACACTTGTTAATGCTATTGGTCTGTAACTGGAAGGAAAGAGAGGGTCTTTTCCGGGCTTCAGCAGCGGAGTAACTTCTGCCCGCTTCCATTCGGAAGGGAAGTTTGAATCTTTCCACAGACGATTAAAGTAAGCAAGAAGGGCAGCGAGTGATTCCTTTGACAAATGTCGGATCATCTCATAATGTATACGGTCAGGACTAGGGGACGAGTTTTTCCGGACACTATGTGCCATTTGGAGCTCGACCATAGTAAATGGCTGGTTTGTAGGGTGCAGAGGCTCCTCCTACGAAGCTGACTTTCGTTCTTTCTGCATTTGTCTTAAACTTCAAAAACGCTGAAGAGTATTCGATTCTGAAATGGGATCATGTGAAACATTCTTTGCAGATTCTATGTGTTTATATGCAAAACTTACCTGTCGAAATCTTCGCTGCGAGACGGAGAGTAGGTTGCGTCAGAGTCTCGCATGTCGCTGGGAACAGAGGATGTGCATTCATATGGCACCCCACTGCTACAAGTGGACAAAGCAAACTCAGGTGGATGCGACGGTGCAGGCACATCTGCGACAGGGAGAGCTGGCACTACTGCAGGAATGTTTGTCTCAGCAGGACAGTACCTGAGGGTCATTTCTGCCTCGCACGGTCCAGGCAGTCCAGTTGCCGAGGCCTAAGTCTGCAAAGGGCACTGTTTATTACACATTTTGTATTTTTAAGGTTTAATGGTGCAACTCGAGCACTTCAAACAATGCCATCACAATGGCAAACATCCAAGAATGGTTTTGTAGCTTTTCCATCCTTTAGAATTTCTTGCACTCATTAAAAGCTCACACTGTAATACGAATGTAAGGGATGCCTTACTCTTTATATTTGTTTTTATAACTTACAGTACCATCTATATGTTTGGTCTCTAGTTCAGCAACCATAAATGCTTATGTCGCGATATGATGCCACATTACATACGTATGTGAATCTGCACCTTGACCTGTATTTACCAACCACTGAAGGAAATGCAACCAACGAGTACTCATAGCCGCAAGTAGGATATATGCAGCAACCGCTAAGAGTTCTCAACGTCTAGAAGTGCCACTAAGCAATAAAATTATGGAGTGCATTTGCTTTGTGCATATAAAATTGCAAACGCCGGTTTGCACGCAGTCGTCGGTGCAGGATTGTAAGAAAAAAAAAAACTGAGTTTGCTCACAAGAGTCGATAAAAAAGAAAACCGGCTTGTTAGTAGTCACGGACACATGGAGCTTTGCTAAGCTTATACGAAATGGTTCGTGTCTGTAAACAAGCTGGGAAAACGTTTACTGAATTCGAGTGGGTCAATAGTAGAGGGGTGGTTTTGTTCGTATTTCCTTTTTACAAATGGGTTCGGTCTTGGTGGTGCCTGCTGATAGGGTTCGTCGTTTTCGGGTAAAACCCGATATTACTTGATTTTTACACCCCAAACAGTTCTGATGAAAATCGGGTTAAACCCGATTTCTCCCCGGAAAGCAGTGTTGAAATCACCTGACTTGGCAGAAAATAGGAACCATTCTGGATCTGTTTAAAAGGTGTTTCCTTGGTCATTCGTTGATGGTCTTCGATTTGCGTGGGCTCCGCAGAGATTCGCATCAGAACCGATCAGAAGGTACAAACATCCTATGCCTATGTAATATATTTCGTTTACTTTTGTTCATCTAAGTAACACATGGCACGTATTTCTACTTGATAAATAAAACCCCCCCAAAATCCGAATTTCGGAATGGTTTCTAGAAAAACTCGATTTCTCCCCGATTATCGCCCTGAAAAATAGCACCCGACTCCCCCTCCCCCCGATTTTTGAAAATGTAAAAACCGAAATCGAAGAACCCCATGCGCGCACTGTTTTCGCGATAAGCTCTCGCTAGTACGGAACATTACGCACCACTGATCGACTTGACGAATGCCATGTGGATTCCCATGTTACGCGAGTGCCTCCTCAGCTCTAAGCTCAGAATTTAGATACCAGAAGCAGCCGCACTGCGCAACGCAGAATGCAATGTTCGTGACACTCCCAAAAATATTTGAGTCATCGAAGAACTCACCAGGACTTTTTGGCGCTTTGGCGGAGGATCCTTGGTCTCATTGACGACGGGAAGCAGAAGCGTCGGCACAGCAGCTGATTGAAGACGTGAACGACTCAAGTCGTCCTTTCGGAAAGCACTCGGCTCGAAAAGTTGGGCACAAAAACGGGGAATCAAAGGCAGGTTGTCGATGTCGTGCCCTCGCCCGGCGCAGCGTAACGACGCAGTTCTTCATGGTTCTATCTCCGGCAAAAAGAAGAATCATGGTTCTATCCCCTGTTTGATGGTGGCACGCCTTGACGAAACAATTGTTCGGCATTTCAGGGAAATCGCTCAGCCAAAGTATAAAAGAAACTATTGCAATACGCGGTCGTATTCCACAGATGACCAGGAAAAGTTTGACTCGTTTACGTGGAAGGATCGCAAAGCTGGCTTCGGAGTCGTGATCCACGGGAAGAAGGAACACGTGTCCCGCAAACGCACGCCTGCACACGCCCCGGGAAGGAGACGGGCCGACGCGCCGACAAATCACGCCTTAGCAACAAGCTTGCGGGGAGAAAACATAGTTCGCTGGTTTTGGAACGATAATTGCGAACTTTATTTCCCACACCACAATCAGTTTACGTTTCTTTCAAACTCTATTTTACAGCAACCTTAAAAAGTGTTGCAATAATAACGTTCGCATTCACCGCGAGATGCAGCATTTCCATTGGTCAAGTTTTAGCGATGGGCAGGGAATGGGGGATTGTCTTCCAAGAAAAAATAGTCCCGATATATTTCTACTGACATCTGCTTACTAAACGGTTTTGTAATCTAAAACTTTGTGTACATACTAACTTGCAGCTACTACGCAATATAGCAACATCAACAGTCAATGTCAGAAAGCTCCGGAGGGCCCCCTTTAAAAGTTCGGGTGTTGCCCCGGCGATAGCTACGTCGTAAAGCGTACACCCCAGGACGAGTTCTACTCAGCTTGGCGTGAATATGGGCATTTTAGAGGGCAGCTCATAGGCGCCCGTTTCCGGCTTGAGTGGCGTCGCCGCTCAAGCCGGGAACGGGTGCCACTGGCAGCGTTGGAGTAACTGCGCGTTGCATTATGGGACGTTTTCTCTAATGATGTCTCATGTGATGTCAGGTGTGACGTCAGGAGTGAGTAGGAGGAGGAGGATTGAATATTTTCCGCTAAACGTAGCGGAAAAAATTGCCCGCTTTAGCGAAAAAATTTCCCGCTAAATCCAGTGGGAAATTTTTTTTCGCTAAATTCTGCTGGAAATGCAGCGAAAACTTCCCATTAAATGGGAGGGGAGCACGAGAGGAGGTGGTACATACTCTCTCCTCTGTACCCTCCCCTCCTCCTCCTCAAGAGCTGCGCTCTAATTTTGCATTACAAAGAGTAGTAAACGTTTTTAAACTTGTTTTCCCATAATAAAGTGTGCGGAGTCCGAGGAGCAGCTGCCAGCGGCAGTGTTCAGGGTGGCACCGCACAAATCGTGGGTGGGACGGCCGCCACACCGCTCGAGTTCCCCTGGCAGATCTCTCTCCGCGTCATCCGCCTCCCGAACACCGATCTCCGCCACATCTGCGGCGGTTCCATCATCAACAAGCAATACGTCGACACGGCGGCTCACTGCATCCTAGAGGAAGTCGCCCGCCTTATTGAACAGGATTTCAGACAAATTCAAATAACTTTGCTTTCAGCTGAAATGGGACTCAGCTCACGTTCTTTTGGCTTCTAACTGGAGCATGCCGACAATATCCGCCTGGTCTGGGATTCGATCTCGGGGCCTCTCCAAGGTTAACGCTCTACCAACTGAGCTTACCATGAGTTGGCATGTCAGTGGAGCAAACGGGTGTTAACGGTTTCCACCAGTCTTGATCATACTGCTAGAGTGAGATCAGTCGTGAATAATTTGACATCATGAGATTCGGGAAAAGTCCCCAAGGTGGGGAATATTTACACACTCGTATGTCAACGTTCCCGGGCAAGGCGGATTTTCTCAGCTGTCACCAGTCGCTTAAAGCGCGCGGGCTGCGCTCCATTTCAGGTGCAAGACAATTCCATTCTTACTTAAATCTTTTCCCCCTTTGGGGAGTTCCCATAAACCCCAGTATGTTAAAACGCCTACCTTTTCGCAAAGCACTTGAGAGGGTCGATCACCACAATAAATGGAGAGAGGTATTTAAAGCTATTTGTAGGCCTGAAAAAGTGATTCTGCAGCGACACTGCACATGCTCTAGCTCCACGATCAGTATCAAAACGCACACTGTTTTTTCTTTATTTTTTTGTTTAAACATAATTTAAATTTCTTCATTCACCGAGCTCCCTCTCTAGATTGCGGCGATTAGGAAGTTTTCGTATACCATTTTTCGCACAGCGCTACGCCCTCCGCGACGGAGACGCCGCTATCGCGCATGCGCGTCGCTAGCCTCGCCTGCAGAGTTCTGGATCTCGTAGCAGGTAGCGGAAAGCGTTGCGGGACGGCGGAGAGAATGTACGAAAACTCCTTAGTGATCCACCCATGTGCGTCGCGGGAACGTAGATGCTCAAGATTTCTCAATGCGCAGTATAACCATCCTTTGAGAAGTCAAATTGTTTGTATTATACTCTTCCTTGTATTCGAGAGTGCTAGAATATTTCTTGACCCAACACTTGAACCTTGACAACAGCTTCCTTTTTTTTGTGTGTAATCAAAAAAAGGAATGAAGATAGAATAATCGTTACTCCAGCCCGCTGCTCGCTCTCTCGCGGGAAGAACGAAGAACAAGAGGAGTGGTGCTCGGCGAGAGGCTCGGCTTCAAAAGGAGACGACTTACAAGACTTGTATGCCATCTTCTCACGAAACCGAGCCTTGAGCCTGTCAACGAAACTGTCCTAACATAGAAAAACTTTTTTGACACACTCTCACACGCGCGCGCACACACAAACGCACACACGCGCACAAAACAAACACGCACACTAACACACGCACGCACATACGCACACCTAGTCTCTCTCTCTCTCACACACACACACACACACACAAGAACACACAAATGAACTGTAGTTGATGGAATGAATAAAAGTTTTACCAATCCATTGAAAGTCAAAATCAATGGCATACGATGACGAGAAAGTGGCGGTGATACACGAGACTTAACTGAGTTACGACCCTTCAAACACTGAGTTACTTCATACTTCAAACGACAGTTAAGAAACTGAGTTCAGGAACTGAGCTACGACATCTCCGATTCGTTTAAAAAACGTTTATGAACGAATATTAAAAAAGTGAGTGTACTAATAAGAAAGAAATGTTAATACAAACCACACGAGTACATCATCTATTCAATTAAAGAATAACAACACGACTTGGATGCATTACAGGTCAAGAAACTTGTAATGCGTAGCGCCATGTCTTTGCAAATATAAAAACTTTCACTTTTTTCTTTTATTGTGCGTTCCGTTTTGACAAATGCATGTCACATTTGGCCCTAAGACACTGATGAAAAATTGGCCCTTTATTTGCAAAAAAATAACGGAATACGTGGCCGGCACACAGACAAGACATCTTCACCGGAAACAGGAGCGTTACCACGGCTGCCACCGGTATTATGGTTGGGGTCGCGATAAGAGAAGTCAGTATATTGCCGCGCGTAGGGTCACGGACTTGTAGAAGGCTCTCGTTTTATTCTTGCAGCGGACATAACTTCTATCGTTTATCCCTGCTTTTGTTGTTCTAGAAAGTGCGTGTTCATACTCGCCCCGAGCGCGGTACTCTCGAACCTTCTCTGCCGAATCTTCGAGATAGTGACTCACCTTAGATAAGAGTTCGCCCGCGACCTTGTCGAGTCAGTTTTTGTCCCAGCGTTCGACTCTGCTCATTCGCCGACTTCGAAGCTCGCGACGCTTCGCTGTTATCTTTCTTTTCCCTTATATTTTTTCCACAAGTTGGCCTCATTAAACGTTTCAGTTCCTTCAGATATTTGCTTTGTTTCACTTGTCATTCGTGACAATATTTCATTTTAGTAGAAATGTGGAAACCTATCGAACTTCCACAGCATGCTGGAACTTTTAGGCTCTTGATTAGTTTGTTTGTTTTTAATTCAGTGGCTACAAGTCTCCGTCGAACTATATTGTTGTGATTGGCGACCAAAACCTCAACGTGGTAGATCCCTACGAGCAAAGAATCGCAGTGGCGAACGTAAGAACTCGAATTCTCTGCACCTGTCATGCTCAGCCTTCCCCCTCCCCTCTTTTCACCCCCCCCCCCAGCACCCTCCCTCCTCCCCTCCCGCCCCCTCCGATCCCCACGGCAAAAACCTTCTGATGAAGAACGCTTTGGAACCGGAAGTACGTGTTCCCACTATATGCAACATGATACAGGTTAAAGAAGCCGGAATAGCGAACTGACGTAATTAAAAATTCTACGGGCGAGAGGAAAGGACGCGCGAGAGCAAACGGTAAGGCTCCTAAGGAAAGTAAAAAAGCGAGGGCAGAAAGGAAATTCCATGAAATCCACTAGATCACAGAAGCGGCAAACCAGCTGGGGAGCGACTATCCCCGGTTACGCCGTCAAAGTCCCGAACGACCATGCACTCGCGCACAGCAAGTGCCGACCGTGCGGCTGTGCAAGCGCGCCCGTCGCTTCAATTGCGCAACCGAAAAAAAATGAAAATAAAAAAAGGAAAAGGATCTTGTTTTAGAGCGCAGCTCTTAGGCGCCCGTTTCCGGCATGAGCGTCGTCGACGTCGCCGCCGCCGTCGGCGTAACCGCGCGGAGCATTATGGGTAAATTTCCCCCCTTAATCTAGCAATAAAAGTTTACCGCTATATCTAGCGGAAAAAGTTCCTCGCTAAATCTAGCGGAAAAAATTTCCCCGCTAAATCTAGCGGAAAAATTCCTCTGGGGGGTCACGTGACCCCCGTGGTCATGTGAGACCCCCAGGTTACGTGACCCCCCCTTGGGCTTGGGGAGGGGGTCATGTGACCCCACCAAGGTCACGTGATCGCACCCAGTCACGTGACCCCCCCCCCGAGGTCACGTGACCCCCGTGTGCTTGGGGAGGGGGTCATGTGACCCCACCAAGGTCACGTGACCGCACCCAGTCACGTGACCCCCCCCCCAGAACACGTGCACCTCAATACCCTTCCCTCCTCCTCCTCAAGAGCTGCGCTCTAATTCGGCGTAACAGGGAGTTGCAAACAGCTTTCATTTTTGAACGCCCAGAAAAAAAAAGACATTTAGGCCAATACAGAAATTTAGTACACGAAAGAAAGTTTGGTGTTAAGGCCAATGGGGAATTCTGTTTTGAGGTTGAAGATAAGGCGGTTTTCCTCTCTCTTTCGCACGTGGGAGGAGGGGAAGCGTGATCTGATGACACAGATGCGCATGTTTAGTTCCGTATGGCCGGAAGTCGAGAAGTGGTCAACTACATGTGTGGATCGTTCCGAAGGAAGGTCTCCCGACAATCTCCGGGTGACGAGACGGCGGTGCTCACGGAATGGTTCGTGCGGCCATCGGTCAATCTCTCCGATGTACAAAATGTCGGGGCAGCTCGTGCAGGAAATGGCGTAAATGACATTGGCTGACTTGCAGGTCTGGTTGTCCGGAATTTTGAATTTAAAGTGTTGCGGGGAGCCAAGGTGCCTGCAAGTCAGGCGTTCAGGAGCATTACAGGGCGTGGTGCCAGGTATGATGCCAGCCGGGTCTGGGTTGGTTTTCGCCTTCAGGCAACTTTTGACACGAAGGTTGCGGAGGTTCGGTGGACGGCGGTAAGCGACGGAAGGAGCCCTGGAAGTTAGTTGTGGGATGTGCAGATGAGATGTTGCAGTGAGGAGTTGATGTGCTAGTTTTGGGACTATAGGATGGTACACAACTATAAAGGAGTTGCTTTTGCCTTTAGGACGGCGGTTTGCGAAAAGGGCGTCATATCTTCTTACGGTTTCGCCTTCACCTCCCTGTCGGCCAATGTACCGACCCCCATCTTTGTGACATGTCCGACCCCTGCCCGTTTCTTGCCGTCTTCCGCGTCTATTACTTGAAGAAGGGCGTCCGCCCGAAACGTCGTGTATACCTCCTTGTCCGCGTATTTTTTCGAGAAGCACAACCTTATCACTCGCGATGACGTATATATATCAAACCTGGAAAGAGCCCAATGGCCGTCAATTTGCAAGGAGGTGCTGATCGATCGGTTCTGACAAAATTAGTTAAATTGTTTTCTTCTAATTATTTCATGTGCGGTTTTTCTCTTGAACACAAATATCTCATGGAAGGCTGTCGTTTCTCGGATTGCCTAGGGTGCCTCAATGAACTTCTGTTTAGAGTGATGCCACCCTTTGTAGTACCCGATGCCGACAGCAAGCGCTCACGGGGAAAATACAAAGAAATCGACGAAAACAAAATGTCGCCATAGCGCAGTCAGCGCCAGTGACGCGTGCAGGGACACGCTCTTTCACGCGCTTCTGAAGAGAAAATATATGTAAAAGTGGGAACAAAATGGCCAGATGTCGCCACCCTAAGCAAAGCGCACATGAAGGCACCCTAGGATAGCCTAAGAACCCAAGAGGAAAGCTAAGTATTCCCATAAAAAAAGTTAGCACCCCAACCAGAACTTCAAATATTAAAGGGATCCAGGAAAATATTTTTTTCTTACTTTTATTCCGGGTGTCCTTAACATGTGAAAGACATTTCTTGGTTTAGATCTTAAAAAACTAAACGTTACAAAACACCACGTTTTTGGTTTTCGTCGACTTATGCCACGAGCTCGTGCCATATGTACCCTAATATACCCATCACAGTCGCCCGCTTTTGAAGGCAAACCGGTGCAATGCCTCTCGGCGTCGCAACAGAGAGGGGCGAGGATCGAACTCCCGAAGTAGCGAGCTGTTTGCTTCAACATTCGGATTAATTAACAAAAATAATTTTACATGTTTTCTCGAGCCACAGATCACGATTCATTCGCAATGGAACCCTTCCACCCTGAACTACGATTACGCCTTGCTGAAGCTGGCGAGACCGCTCAACTTCACGGGAAGCGAGAAGGCACTCATGCCCATCTGCCTTCCGACGCCCAACCAGGAATTCGACGGAATGACCTGCACCGCCAGCGGATGGGGACTCACGAAAGACAGTCGGTGTCTGTTTCTGTTCGTGGCTGGGAATAGCTAATAGTAACTAAATGGCGGATCCAGAGTATTTTCTTTTTCTTTCTCCGCCAACTCCTCATTGGCGGAGAAGGGGTCGCTTGTGACAAATTAGACAACGGTGCTTGCGGCGAAGTGACCTTGCAGGGTACCGGGTTTGGGGCCGGACATATTGTTCACTGAGCGTTCGCGTAAAGTTTAATATTGCACTGAAGCCTGGCAAGAACAAAGGTTCTTCAACCTTCGGACATTGTGTGCCACTAAGACGTGAGCGTAATTGCGTTATCTATTATAATGCAAGCGCTGTTTCAACACTGCCATGTACAAGCAGACGACACTACAACCGACCACGGAGTGCCTGCGCGCGCGAGCTTCCGAGGAACCCGGGCGACGCCCAAAAGCGCATGCGCGGTGAGCTGCCGCCGCATGTCGTCGCACCCGTCGCGTCTCCTGGGAGAATGACGGTCGCTTCTCCCGCAATACCTGGACTCAAAAAGTTGAGGCCATTGTGATGCTTTGCTCCGCAAGAGGAACATATAGAAATTCTTTAGGCATGACTACAACGGACAGTCACTGAATAGACAATAACCGTGGATAGTGTTATTACACACAACATAACGAATTAGAACTCCCGTATGGTGGTTTCTAACTCGGGATTGCTCTACACTGCAACTTCAATGAGTTGGTCTCATTTGCTGTTGCCAATGCCGTTAACGGGAAACAGCCTTGGACATTTACGCTATACTCTACCAGTGCACTCTTTGATGGTTGCGGTGTCTGTGACTCTTTGATGGTTGTGGTAGATGAAGTGTTAACCACTTCAACTACGAGGCCTTCAGTATTCCCCAGCCAGAGAACTTTACATTTTGCGTTGCATGTAAATGATTCTAATGCGTTAGCATTAGCTGTTTTATGGAGAGACGCCAGGATTGTCTGTGGCCGCAAAAAAATGACATAAACTCCGTCTGTAGCAGCGAAAAACAGCGGCTAAATCCCGATTGGCTGTGACGCGTCACACTTCCAAGGAACACCACCCCACGGAGAAGCCCTCATGCCTGCGCTGCGGCGCGCGCGTCGGTAAAAGAGAGAGGGTGGCGCGTGCGCCGCCTCAACATTTTCCTCCCTCCCGGGTCACGAGACAGGCGTGGCCGGAGGGGGGGGGGGGGGAAGAGGGAGAGCGGGAAAATTTCCCTCCCTCTCCCTATGCACTACTCTATCACGTGTTGTATGTACCATAGCCTCCTCTATACTCACAATTCCTGGCAGTTCGGTGACGGAGCCATAGAGCGCCCGGTCGCAGATTTGGAGCGCGAGGATCTGGTAGCACAGAGCATTTCTCCGGGAGTCTGGTATTCAGCGCACAGCTTTTGCAGCGGCGAGGACCCGAAACATGGTTTTCAAACCCGACGAGAAAAGATGCGGTCGCCCGAGGAATGCGAGAGGCACGAGCCGGCATTCCATCGCTCGGGACAAGTGTGTTTCGGCGTCTCGCCGCAGAGGGTCGCCCATTAAGCGCGATCCAAACCAACGCGTTTTTGTGCGCGCGTAGGCAACACCCTCTAAAAACGTATAAAGCCTTAGCTTTTTGACCGCGACGTCACACGATAGGGCGGATTGGTAAATGTGCGGAGCGATGTTCAAGAGAGGTTGTCGCACCAATTTACCTCGCGGGCACTTTTTTTCTTTTACACAGACAGAGTACTTCAGCCACGGGACCTCATCGTCGACGATGTGGATAATAACAAGCCTTTCGTCCGTTTGTATTATGTTCCAAAACTTCATCTCTTTGCTCCGCAATTGTCCGATTAGTTCTGCTACAGAGTGGACTTTCTCCTCTTCATGTGCCCTGTTAAACATCTCATCGGACTCCGCGATAGCTTTTTGCATAGCAGCATGCTCCATGCTCGCCCGCTTAGAGTCGGGATCTTCTCTTCTTGTGGCTTCCCTAGACAGGTAGGTTAGGCACCTAGGGAACTTCGACGGTACAGCGTCAGGGCGAAGACGGACATGAGATAAGGGCACTGTGATAGTGCGGCAAGTACTTTCATCGGTATGCGATGGTTCTCGTATGATGTCCTCATGTCCGAAGTGAAGTTTGCATACCTAGAAAGGAATTTTGCGTCCAATGAACAAACCAAAGGGTTTTTGACATAGAGTGCGGATTGCGAGCCACATTTATACGGATGTATACATATATATAGAATTTCCATTTGCAATGAAACAATTAATTCTCTACCAAAAAGAAAGCTTACCCTTGAATTCTCGGTGACGGAGGGGTCTTCCCGCGGCACAGCGCGTATCCATGCGTCCCTCAGTGTTTGATCCTTTGGGAACTTGAACACGCGCACTTTGGTGTCCACGGTGTAGTTTCCGCGGCAACGCGGCACACAGCACTTGCACGGCATCTCACCGTCGCTGTTTTCACGTTTCTCAAGCTTGCGGAGACACGAAAAAACTCACAACGACGCGCAAAAAACGAGAAATTCGACAGAACAGATATGCACGTCGAAAAAGACACTCGGAAGCAGGTCGATTCTGCGGGGGACTGGTTCAGCCGCACCTGCAATGGGGCGACATGCCTTGACAGGTCCGGACACGTCGAGCCGTCTCTCGCAGCCGCTCCATTAGCTGACGTAGTAAGAGTGGAAAGGGGGCAGAACCGAGGCTTTCTCCCTTTCCAGTTGGTGTTGGCGTAGGTCGCGCGCTTCCCGGAAATTGCGTATTTCATGACGTCGCCCTCATTCCTTGCGCCTTCCCGGCGCGCACAAGGAAGTTGGATAATTCCGACTTTTTCTGAAGGCGCATTAAACGCCCTGTGACGTAGTAGGACACTCCTCTCCCATATCCTCTCCCGGCTAATGGACCGATGTCACCAAGCAAACTGCGCAGGCGCGCGCATTCCGGAAAAGGTGCCGCCGCCATGCTACTTGTAGTCATCCACCAGTTCCGTCTCCGCGTTTCTTCGCCGCCTGGCGCAGATGCTCTCCTCTTGCCCGAAAACGCACCGTCCTAACCATAGAGTTATTACAATAAACGCTAGAGGCTCAGCTGGCGCTAGTGTCTACGGGACTTCCGGTTGCATATTGAAGCAGACAGCATGCAGTCTACTTTTCCAGTCTTCCTGTGTATTCCTATGGGAAAAAGCGCGTGGATTTTGTTTCGTCGCCGGAAAATAACATTAATAACTTTTGTTATTTCGGTTGTACCGGATAGTATGTACCTTTATTAATATTGTGAAAGTGTAATTGCTTTAGTTACAGCCTTTTTCCTTTACCACTGAACGATGTTAAACTTCGCTAAATTTCAGGCCTAAACCTCTGTTTCATGGCAGGTATGTAGAAACGAGCGACGATTCCAAGCAAAATAACGATCGAAAGGAATGTAGAGTGTGTTAAAAGTTCGCCAGCATTCCGTTGGTGCTTATATATTGCTAATATGCCTGTCCTAGCTCACTATTTGAAAACGCCCCCGTCGTGCATCTTTACGAGGTTAAAAAAACGTTCGAAACGTAAAGAATAAAGTACGTGGGCTACGAAAGGTTATTTTCTTATTATTTCCTATGTTGGGCAGTTTTTATCGCGCTCCTGTTCTCTGACTTCCCCCTATTTGCAAAGATTTGGAGCGTTCGGGTGATGATTTGAACACAGAACAAGCATCTTCGCATGTATTCATGAGCAGAAAGAATAAAGCGGCACTTATTTATGGCAAATCGGTCTATATTATGTGACTTTCAATTTATTTTGATCGTCTGCAAGTACAAGGAGTTACTTATCCAGTGTTACTGCGTAATTCTTGCCGTCTCTCTTGGTTTTCCACATGTCCTTTGTTCGTTTGGCACGTATATCCCCCATGCTGGAAAGTGGCGACTCCGTGTTCGCGCTAACAGTGTCCGACAGTGCACATAAATACATGTACGAAGCGGTTTTAGCACCGTTTTTGATGCCACGATTTTAAAATAAAAACGCCGTAACTGACCAATTATTTCATCTGCGTGTCTGGGAAATGTTCCAATGTGCCTAGTAGGTACGAATTATTCGTGATATTTGCTCTTATAATCGAGCGCAGGGAGAAAATGCACTCGCTTTTTTCCGTAGAAATGCATTACCGGAAGTCAATTTCGGACTGCTTGCTGTCTGCTTCAATTTGCAACAGCACACTAGCGCCAGCTGAGCCTCTAGCGTTTATTGTAATAACTCTATGGTCCTAACCAACGAGCATGCTTGTGACTCAAACAACACACCGGAAACAGCAAAAACGTCACAAAATACGCAATTTCCGGGAAGCGCACGGCCTACGCGCGCACAAAAACGCGTTGGTTTGGATCGCGCTTTACATGCATCTTGTTTGCCGCTCTACGTTTTCGCTTTCGGTGGCCGCGTCTCGTGGCGATCTGCCAGGCTTTGTCAGCATAAACCTTTCCAAAAAAAGAGCGTGTGGCCAGTGCCATTTTGAGTGATAGTGCGTACGGCACGTGCTTTGCTCGCTTTCTAAAGCGACAAACACGCACGTGCTGGGCTGTGAAGATTTCACGCCGGACTGTGATTTTGTAAACATTGGAAGCGCCTATAGAGGAGGCTATGGTTGTACGCTCTGCTTTCAGCCATGTCGCGCCGCCCGGCCAGCCTCTGCGGACGACAGCGGGGCCCGCTGCTTGTGGGAATGCACTGCGGGTAGGAATCCTTTCGCATTCCCACACGTAAGCAGTCCTAAGTGTCCTCCTGTAATTTTGTTTTGTTTTTCGCTTTGAGTTTTGGGGGAGGAGGCTTAGTCCGGTATAGCCTTCGCCTGTTATTTTGCGTAGATAACGTTATCATTTATGCTTTTATTAAATACATAAAAAAACTGCAGCCTTTCCACTCGTGTGAAGAAGGGAGACCAGCGAAGCTGTACTACTGTGGTGGGAATGAAGTAATGCCCGGCTGCGAGTCGGCAAGCCAGAGTGGAAATGCTCGAAAGGTTGCCACCATCTATGAGCGACGGCGGCAAGCAGACAATTGGCAACTCGGTTGTCTGGCTGCCGCCGTCGCTCATCGATCATAGATTCTGGTAGATGTCCAGAGTTTTGTGTCATCAGGCCATTTGAGGACGCACACGATCCTAGGGAAATTAGCCCTTTACAGCTCCTCTGTAAAAACGAATGACCAATATTAACCACCCAGTGTCCGGATACCGTGGGTAAATAATGAACCTTGACTCCTGCTTTCTTCGTCTTCTCTCTGCAGGGACCCAGGGTGGAAACATATCCCAATCTCTTCAGAAGGTTGATTTGCCCATCGTGGCTTACGGAGCCTGCCGCTCTTACTACCGTCTTTCTAATATTGTTGTACAAAACACCATGATCTGTGCCGGTCCCGAATTCGGCGGAAAAGGAACCTGTCAGGTAAGAAATTCGTGGTATTTAAACTGCACGCCAGAGCGGAATTTTGCAAACGAAGGCATACTGATGTCCACGAACTGGCCAATAGCGCCTTTGCTTTTCTCTAGAGCACACGGATGCCGCGCAATAATTAATTTTCATCACGGCTCCTGGAACACGTGTCAGACTGGAAGTCAAACTGGGGTCTTTATCGGCAGCCTTAATTCGATTTAATCTAGAACACAGCCGGCGCTGAACTGTCCGCGAGGTTACTACTTTCTCAGGGAACCACGTCCACTGTCCCACTTGCTTCTCTTAGAAATACCGGAAAGATGTTCTCGACGTTTGTGTTGTTTACTTGTCTTGTGTTTGGGGCAATCTCATGTTCGTGTCCAATTGTTTTCCACACAAGACCCAATAAACGCCGTTTTTTTTTTTGGACATCAAACACTGACACCAGAAAAGGCCGAATCCGTGGAAGCAAATAAATCCCGAATAACAACACCCCCGAATTCAAGGCAAAATATCATCCTCCCCAAAAAAAACAAAAGAAAACAAAAAAAAAAACGGGGATTTATACTTTATTTTTATGTAAATGAAAACTTTAAGCCGCTCTTCAGTCGTGGTCACACTGGTAATGCATCATACAAAATACAGACTGCACTGCAGACACCCTCTGAGGCATGTTTTTTCATTGTTTGTGGTTCTTTCACACTTGACATACAGACAATGCGGCAAACATGTTCGTAGTACGTGCATATGAGGCAAACATGCTTCGAACATATGTCTGAGGCATGTCTGCAGATGAGGTCTGCAGAGAAACTCCGTGACCTCTGCATGAAGTACGCGAAGTGCGGCTGCGGCTTTAGGCTATCCGTTGTAACCGCGCATGCTCTTTTTCCCCAGGGCGACTCCGGGGGGCCCCTGCAGTGCGCCAGGTCGGACGGCCGCTACGTGCTGGCCGGAAGTGTGTCGTGGGGCTCGAAGTGTGCGGCACGCAGGCAGCCCTCTGTGTTAGCGAGAATCTCTACCCAGGTCGCCTGGATCAGTAGCATCGCCGGCCCGACGCCGTGAATTCGCCCTGGTTTCCATCGAGCGCCCGCTGTCTTTTGTTTGCATTCAAAACTGTCCGTGTACCTGAACAAAACGTTATTTTAAAGCCTAGGTGATTCTTGCGTGTGGCTGTATTTTTATTTGAAATCAGAGAAGAGCAGCGGACGTTGCTGTAAGGACGGTCCTGTCCACGAGAAAGTGCTCTCTGACTTGCGCATGAAGGTGTCCTTCATATCCACACACTCGAGATACGTGAGATTTGAGTGAGGTGCCACGAGTGCGCATGCGTGCCAAGCCGACAGCAGCGCCACCGCTATGGCGTGACGTCAGGGCCGCCGCGTGTTGGTGTGTACGGTTTTCCCGCCGAGTTCAGGCGATTCTAAAAACTGCCCAAAAACACTAACAAGAGACGTAAAAAAAAATAATCCATTGCACTCGATCGGCACGAAGTTCTCTTGGTGTTTCTCTGCGCTGGCTCGTAGGCAGCCTTCCTCACACTGAATTTGCCGGATTGAGTGACCGGCAGCGAACGCTAGCTCAGACTGTTTCCAAGTTCGATATCACATAAGTTTCGACTGATTTAGTTACAAGGCGCAGTCACACTGCCGATACATCATACCAAAGACAGTCTTGCAGACACTGTATGGGGCATTCCTCGTATGTCGGTCACATCGGTTGTATGAAAGCTGTTTGCAGGCATCTTCGAAGCATACAGGGGGATCGGTGCCCGCCAAGTGGTCTAGCGCACACCAGCTCGGAGCACGTGGAGCGAAAGCTCGCGCTGCACAACCCAGGGATCCTGGGCGCAATCCCCGCCCCTGCCCGTTTCGATCTGGATGAGCATCGTACCGGCGTGTGGCCGTGTATCACTACTGCGTGGTGCACGTTAAAGACCCACCCTAGGCTAGCCGTTGTACTGCACTGGCTAAATTGCCCATCTACACTCGCTAACCATGTCGCCATGTTCTGGCAGACTAAATTCCTGCTGTTTAAATCAACTGACAACTAACTTGACTTTTGTGTGCGCTAGACCACGCGACCATCAATACCCCCAAGAAAAAAAGGAAAACGTGCAGCAAGCTATGTTTTGAACGATCTTAGCTGGTCGATGAAGACGAACTGTATCATTAAACGCAGTTGGTACACCAGCAATTGAATGCGTCTCTCGATTTTTTTGGTCTATTTTTGTGTTTCGTTTTTCTTTGCACCTTTTACGACGTGCGATGGATGAAATTCACTTTTAAAGTCGTTTCATGGGCCTTGATGAAACCAAGAAAAAATAGTGCGAACAGGATCTTTTCTAGCCTCAGGGCAAAAAACACAATCGAAACACAACACAAAAATATATTTAGCCAAGTAATTAATTTGATTCACAACGACTGTTTATTATTTTTTTTTTTATAAAAGCTGAACATTTTACAGGTATCTGTCTGGTTGGTTAAAAACTTAGGAAAGAATTTGTTGTTCCTTTTATTTCCTCATATATTTTCCTTCAGAATGTTTAGGACTTTTATGTAACTTCTTAAAAAATTTAGTAGAGTGTTATCCACTTATCTCAATACCAAACATAACGTTGTACCTCTTATAACAATCAGTTTCTAGTTCAGATACAACGGTAATCGGTTATAACTATTTGATCTTCTAGTTTTCTCATTATGGCTATAATTGGATTGCGCAGTAAATGCATTAAAATAATAAGAAAAACGAACCGTCCCGACATGTAAATTGGCAATAAGATCAAACTAGAGAAGCGCTATGTCCAGCTTTTATTCCCCGAAATTCTGTGTTCACCCCTCATCTGTATTGGTAAGGTGGATAGCGGATCGGTAGCTCGTAGGTGGCACCACCGGCAGCTATTGCTTGACACCGTACAATACACGAAACTCTACGGGAGAAACACGTAGAACTAGGAATATTGAAGCTTGTATGCGCCGATGTAAGGCAAGTATTTTATGATGTGCTTCGATCATTATATCGGGTGTTTGGAGATCGAAGCAATATTCGTGAAGCGTTGGAACGCCGGTTAAGAAAACCAAAAGTGCGGGAGCATTACAGAGTGTGCCGGCGTCTCTTACTTCAGTTTCTAAATAGATGACACGTTCAACAAATCTACGACACGCTCCATGTTTTAGTTCGCCTCAAAAGCCCTCGATGTAGTTCAAAGCAAAAGGCTGCAAAGGATGTGAATGTCCCCAGTAAAAGTCTTTCGAATCCTTTTAAGCGTTTGTAGCGAGTACTTCTGGAGCAACCTTTTTGCTTTAAACTACAGCGAGTGTCATAGTCCTCCCTTCACGCTTAAGGTGGCAGTGGAATGTACGGACTTCGGGCAAAAGAAGAATAAAGACAGGCTTTTCATCTCTGCAAGTGAAAGCTACATGCTTGTTACAGCAATTAATCGCTTACTTTTACAGCAGACCTCACTGTTTATATGAAAAGCCTGTCTTTATTGTCATTTTTCTCGAAGCATCGTACCGGCGTGCGGTCGTGTTTTACTACTGCGTGGTTGTTGTGTCGCTACTGAACACCATCATCATCATGAGGTCAACATGAGTTTGAAAGATGAAGAGCGCTCGGATGCCGGACTTGCGGAGCAATGTCCCAGGCTGACTCCAATTCCTCGGAGCGAAGCCTAGGCCTGCTCGGTGCGTCGCCGAGACGTCGTTCTCTTGCTCGGTGTGTCGCCGAGAGCTCGTTCCCTGGCTCGGTGCTTCGCCGTGACCTCGTTCCCTGGCTCGGTGCTTCGCCGTGACCTCGTTCCCTGGCTCGGTGCGTCGCCAAGACCGGATGCTCCAGCCGATTCAAAAAGATCCCAACCGCTTCTGCTCCTCCAGCCCCCCCCCCCCCCTGCTTCACTTCTTTTTTTCCACCTGGTGGCACACCCGTTACACTGCCTCCCCACTTTTGAAAAGATCACCTTTTCCCTGGCGTCTTCAGTTGGCTCACCGTAATGCCGTCAAACGGCGCGCCTCGCATGCGCTCAGGCCAATTAATTCACCGCAGCATTGCTTACTGGCACCACCTGGTTCAAATGTACCACACGACGACAACCTCATGCTACAGACATAAAATTTCCGGTTGAGTCACACACACAAAAACAAAATATATATCAACAAAAAAGAAAAAAAAAGGAACCCCGACCCTGGCATGTTACCGAGATTAGTTTACAAACACTCAAAAAAAAACAAAACAAAACAAAAAAAAAAAAAACGAATGCGTCTACACAATTCAAGAATCATTTCCGAAACCCTGGTTCTCCTCTTAAATCTGACTTAACAAGTCTGCGCCGACGTCATCACCCCACTTGATATACTCCACATAAAAATCATAATCAGTTTATATTTTCGGTAAAAAATACCGTGTAAATTTTCTTTTGTGAAACCCTGTACAGTGGCTAACAATGCCGCCATGCTCTGGTAGACTAACGTCCTGCTGTTTAAATCAACTAACACCTAATTTGACTTTTGTGTGCGCTAAACCACTCGGCCATCAATGCCCCCAGGAAAAAAAAGGAAAAAGTCCAGCAAGCTATGTTTTAAACGATCTTAGCTAGTCCATGAAGATGAACTGTGTCATCAAACGCAGTTGGTAGTCTAGCAATTGAATGCGTCTCTCGTTTTTTTTGTCTATTTTTGTGTTCCGTTTTTTTTTCTTTACACCTTTTACGGCGTGCGGTGGATGAAATTCACTTGTAAAATCGTTTCATTGCATTTTGATGAAACCAAGAAAAAAATATTGCAAACATGATTTTTTCTAGCCTCAGGGCAAAAAACCAAATCGAAACACAACACAGATATATTTAGCCAAGTAATTAATTTGATGCACAACGACGAATTTTTTTTATAAAAACTGAACATTTACACACACCTGTCTGGTTGGTTAAAAATAGAAATATTTCGTTCTTTCCTTTATTTCCTAAATATATATCCCTTCAGGATGTTTAACGCTTTTATGTCACTTCTAAAAATGTTTGTAGGGTGCTACCCACTTATAACGATACCACATATAACGTTGTACCGCTTATAGCAATCAGTTTCTCGTTCAGGTACAACGGTAATCGGTTATAACTATTGGATTGTCTGGTTTTCTCATTAGGGCTATGAGTGAATTGCGCAGTAAATGCATTATTATAAGAAAAACGAACCGTCACGACATGTAATTGGCAATAAGATCGAACTATAGGGGGCGCTATGACCAGCTTTTATTCCCTAAAATTGTGCGTTTACCCTGATCTCTATTGGTAAGGTGGATAGCGGATAGGTAGCTCGTCGATGGCACCACCGGCGGCCATTGCTTGACACCAGACAATACACGCAACTCTACGGGAGAAACACATAGAACTAGTAATACTGAAGCTTGTATGTGGCGCTCTAAGGCGAGTATTTTATGACGTGCTTCGATCATTATATCGGGTATTTAGAGATCGAATCGGTATTCGTCAAGCGTTCAAACGCCGATTAAAATAAATCAAAGGTGCCAGAGCACCACAGATTGTGCCGGCGCCGCTTGCTTCAGTTGCTAAATAAATAACAAGTTCAGCAAATCTACGACACGTTCCATGTTTCAGTTCGCCACAGAAACCATCGCTGTAGTTCGAAGCAAAAGGTTGCACTAAAGTACTCGGTACAAGCGCTTAAAAGGATGTGAATGTCCCCAGTAAAGGCCTTTCGCATCCTTTGAAGCAGTTGCACCGAGTACTTCTAGAGCAACCTTTTTACTTTGGACTACAGCGAGGGTCATTGTCCTCCATTGACGCTTAAGATGTCAATGAATATATATGGGCTTCGGGCAAAAGAAGAATAAAGACAGGCTTTTCAACTCTGCGAGTGAAAGCTACGTGGTTGTTACACCAATTAATCGCTTACTTTTACAGCAGATCTCACTGTGGATATGAACAGCCTCTCTTTATTGTCATTTTCCTCGGAGCCCACACATTTCACTGTCATTTTACCAGCGTTGGACAAAATACTCGATCAAAGTATTTAAGTTAAGTAACTAAATACCTGAATATCACGTCCTACGGC